AGCTCTTGTAAGAGCTCTTGTTCCTGATCCTGCTTCGCTCTCTGGGAGGAAGAGAGATTTCCCCACTGGAACCTGGAGCCTTGTCGTAAGTCCAGGGTGGATAGGAGACGGCGAGACCCCAACCAGTAGTGGCGGTTCATGGGGTCTGCAGTACTTATGGTGTCTACGGTGCTGATGGTCCTTGGTGAGCGCTAGGAGCATCCTTTCTATGGTCCAACCCTCAGCTAGCCTGGGGCAACCGTAACAGTAGCGATAGGATGTAAGTCCTTATTTCATGCATTCATTTACAAAAAGAGACTCTCCCTCCTAAACACCAAATGCAAATTAATTCAAAACCAATTCTATGATACATATCTAACCCATCTGCTTTACGTAGAACTTGCCACACCATGAGTAATAATATATCTGTGAAACATTCCACAGCGTGACATCTCGATCGCCATCGTAATGAACTTTCCAGTATTCGATTGTCACTCAATATCCGTCAGAAAGCTAATCTAAAAACAAATCTGTTCAGAAAGGAAAATAAGCAAAAATATTGATATCAAGCCAAAAACATAAATTCCACGGAGTATATCGAACATGTTTTATACCGTGTATCTATCTGTAATGTTAGGAGGGCACCGTGGCCCTTACTATAGAGGGCAAGGGACTGGACATAGATGTCAAGCCATCCAAATGCTGGACAGTCCGATATCCATTGTCTGCCAACCTGGCCTTACAGGCTGTGTATCTAGCATAGACCGAGGCACGGTATGAATGTCATGTCCATTCCGTGCTTTCCTGGGTTAAACCGGCCAGCCTGTGTCTCGGTAATTATAAACGATCTGCTGTGTGAATCCTTCATACACAATGAACCTTTTATGTATAATGGATTTATTGTGGAAAAATAAAATACACCAAGCTATGGCATTTTTATTATGTTTATTCATAATGAAGATAAAGGGGGAAAAAAAAGTCTTCATCTAAATGAAGAAAACCTTGAACGTTCTATCGTTCTCTTAGTAAAATGTCACAAGATAAAAACATTCGTTCCTGGCCCTGTGTTAAAGCGATCGCCTTCAATTCTGTCCCAGGCACATGTACTAAAATGGGAATATAGCTGTATAGTATAGTCTGTCTAAAAAAACGCTGGTCAAATAGCAGAGTACGTGACTGCTCAACACAGTACCCCCACCATGTAGAGCTAGGAGTTTAATGTTAATACCATCACTCTTAGCCACTGTTTTTTGTTTTTTTTTGCTTTGGGCATTTTTAAAACTTAAACTGCTGTAAAAATATCTCCTACAAACATGCTCTTCCATGCTTCATCCTGCAAAGGATGGTGAGAGTTGTAATTCGGTAACAGCTGGAAGAGGGGGGGTAGTGCCTTCCCCTGCCTCGCAGGTCGGACCAAATGTAGTTGTGTGCAGTGAGGCAGCACAGTTTGCAGGGGGATTGGATGTTGCAGGCATTAGTGTGAAAGATTAATGTTCTGCTGGAAGATGTTTATGGGTGGAATAGTTAGCAAGTTTTGCAGTCCTATGGGAACCTTTGAGTATCCAGGCTTCTGACTGCTCATCAAGCAGGGAAGAGGTCAGGCTCCTAGAAATGTTGACATCCCATTCTCTCTCAACCGCCTGCATGCAAATACGGATAGGTACCGTCCACTGCGCAGACAATTAGCATATTCTAACGCTAAGCAGATGTTAACGGTGCCAGGAGGATGGCACCAGACGCCCACTCTGCAATCTGCTTAGATGGGCAGACTTGATCTCTCAGTAATAGGGGCCTGCTGGTAAAACCAGCTTCTCACTGAGCCCCCCGCGCTCGACAGATGCCATCGATTGGTCACTTCATTCTGCATCTAGAACAGGCAGAGCGCGAGGATGTATGAATAGAATTATTAATTGTGTAATGTGTTTGGTTTTTTTCAAGCAGTAAAGTTACTTTGCATTCTTTAAAATTTAAAAAACAAAACAAAAAATAGCTGTTGTTCTAATAATGGATGTACTGTGAATGTGTGAAATGAGAGCGGCATGTGTGCCTATAAGCAGAAAACAGATGGCCGGATCGCAACTTTTGGACGCAAGGATTGGATTCATTTACAAAACACGTCAGTTAGTGAAATTCAAGGATGGGAGACGCGTTGGCTTTGGGGTTTAGGAAGCCGTGTCTGCAGAATGTATACTGCGCGATATCTACACACACCAACACACACGCATACGGTTATTCACTTAGCTGGGAATTGAGGAGAATTGACAAATGGTAAATTTGAGAAATTACGCAGATTCACAGTTCGCCTTTTTTTGACCTATTTTCCCTTATCAATGCTCTACAATCAACTCTTCATGGGTAACTATTCTCTAACATACGAATTGTTTGAAATTTGAAAAGAAAGTCAAACTCTTCTCCAAAAATGTCCAAACTGAAAACCTCACTGAGTCTAGAGAATTTATAGCTTTTAAAAAAAAAAAAAAATTGTATAGTTTGGCCTGGACTGTAAAAAAAAAAAAAAAATTGAATGCACCTTGGTTTCAGAACAATTCTTATTTTAGCGCCATATTTAGTTCTATATGTGCAGCCTGGTATCTTGCATCGTTTTTTTTTTTTTAGTTGGGGGGAGGCAGCAGATTATTTGTTAAGTTTTTACAAAAAAATTAAAAAAGCCTAGTCTCTCCTTTCATCAGATGCTTATTTTTAATATTTGCGAGAAGAGGAAAAATTACAAGATAAGCGACTAGATCGGAAGAAAGTATGGGGGAGGGGAGATCAAAAATGACTTCTCAGGGGGGATTTAGCCCAGAGCCCTAAGAATCCAGTTCTAAAATATGAGAAAGAATATTGAAATTTACCTTTTATCTCATTTATACACTTATCCCCCCCCACCCCCCACATTACTTTTTGATTAATGGAAGGCTACACTGTGACAGCCACCTTTTTTGGTGAAAGCGTTTGCAAAAACAATTGTTTAAGATGACACAGATGGAGCATTCACGTGTATTGTGAATGCTATTTAAAGCAGCTTAAAAGCCGTGTTACTGTAACAGGACAAACTGATACATTTCAGCCTAGAGGGGGAGGGGCACCTTTACACAGTGACCCGAGAATATGACCCTGAAAAATTATTTTGAAATGAAAACACGTTTTTCCTGTGTGCTGGAGTAGCTCAATAAATATGGGCTTGTATGACTAAATGGCGGAATGGGTGCATCAATAGTAAGAAAGCCAAAGAAACAGTTGATGAAATTTATTTTACTTCCCCTAGTGGCCACAGATGATACTACAGGTAATGGCACACAGTCTGCAAATTATTATTATTATTATTATTTCATTATTTATATAGAGCCAGCAAACTCCCTAGTGATGTACAATGGGTGGACTAACGAACACGTAATTGTAACCAGACAAATGGACACACAGGAACAGAGGGGTTGAGGGCCTTGCTCAAGGAGCTTACATGCTAGAGGGAGTGGGGTATAGTGACACAAAGGGTATAAGTAGGGCTAATGAAATCGGTTGCTTGAAAAGTATTCACTGAGAACTTAGTAGGTTATTTCTGACAGTTGCAGGAGAGGAGTCATGGGGGGGAGGGATAAAAAAAAACCCGCTAACAGTTTAAGTGATATGCTTTCCTGAAGAAGTGTGTTTTCAAAGATTTTTTTGAAGGAGTGGAGACTGGGTAAAAGTCTAACTGAGAAGTGAAGGGAGTTCCACAGAAAAGGTGCAGCCCCGGAGAAGTCTTGGAGGCGAGCATCAGATGTGGGAGTACCGACAGAGGATAGACGTAGGTTTTCAGCAGCATTATGTAGGGACTTGCAAGCAAGCACCAGAATTTAAAATTCTAACTGGAAGCCGATGTAGGGACTGACAGAGGGTGGAGGCTTGGGAGGTGCGGGCGGACAGGAAGATGAGCCTCGCCGCCGCATTCATTATAGATTGCAGCGGTTCAATCTGGGAACACGTAAGACCACTGAGAATGGGATTGCAGTAGAAAATGAAAGCAGGTGCACATGCATTTGCCATCTCTCTCCCCCACCTCCTTGCCAGCCTTAACCTATGCTTTCTCAGTAGTAGGGTAATTTATAAAGAACATAATGTATGACAGAATGGTAAGACTGCCATTTAAACTGGTTGCCTGTTCCCGCTGGCTGCTCGGGGTTTAGAATTCTGCTCCCGTATTGCTTTAAGTAATACATAATCCTTAGAGCGCGGGCGGAGCCTGACTCAGCGCTGGATTCAGGTAAGTCACTAAAGGGGTTTTAACCCCTCCCTCCCACAACATGGGATGGGAGGTGGGAGGGAGGGGGGCACTGCAGGATTCTGCAAGATTTGTTTTCCTGGCACTGGAGAGTCTCTTTAAGTTAAATGTGAATTCAAAGTTAAATTTTAACTTGAAAGTCAAACTGTTTAAAAATGACAAATATCAGAAAGTACACTCCATTTTCAGTTTGGCCTAATATTTGAAATTCAATTTGGATTCTCTAATTTAGGGAGCTCCTTCCAGCTGCTCCTTCACCCCGTGTTGCTCACTGCTGTTCAGAGCATTTTCGAGGCGATGGGTAAATCTTTTTCTGTGTTTACCAGGCGTCAGACAGAGTCTGAGAACAATCAATGAATGTAGAAACATAGAAATTGACAGCGGGATTCCGGATAAGAAGCTTCCATTCCCCCTCCCCGTTCTGTTTGTTAAAGACAAGTTCTTCTTTAAAGTGCATGTTAATTGCCTTTTAAAGGGACAGTATGGTAGAAATATGTAAGGCAAATATATTTAAAGAAAAACCTAAACAATATGTACATAATCCAGCAGAGATCAAATGCTTTTATAGCCACAGTTTCATCTCCCATAGCAGAGTCTTAAAACAACCCTTTGTTTTTCTTTTTAATTTTTTATTTGCACAGAATATATTTGATGAAGTCATATTTTATCTCACTGAGCTATGTAAATGAGAACAACTCTTACAATAATACCTTTTTTTTTTACTCTACAAAAAAAAGAGAACTTTATTTTGTAGTATGAAGGAAAAATTAGCAGCATGTAGAGATTCATTGCTGCCTCTCGAGTTTAGCTCCACCACTCGAAACAACCAGGAAGTCACAGGACCTGCTATGTGACTGACAGCCGAGGAGGAGGAGGGGAGCGTGTAATAAGTTTAATTTATAAAAGTGGCAATATCTTTTTAAGGCCTTGGTTTAATATTTACTTGGATCAACTTTAAAAATAATAAAATTATTATTTATTACCTAAAACTGGAGAAATGTCTAAGGCTGAGATTAAACACTTCCTTCTAGCCATTCCGATTCATACCTGCAATTGTACTGATAGGACGAAAGCGGTCAGCTGGTCTTCTTAGCCAATCTCAGCAGCCCATTGCTGAATGGAAGGACAGCGCCTGTCTCTTTAACTACACAGCGGGTTTGATCAAATTAATAACCAACTCAGACTATTTTGCAATAACTTTTTCTTACTTAGAAAGTCATTGACTGTTTCTTCAATAAACCTAAAAAGCTTGAAATGGGGACATACTGTACATATATTCTACATATATTGTATTTTTGTTATCATACTATCTCTTTATCAAAGGTTTAGTGTTTGTTGCCAGCAACTTTAATGTTGGCGTCTTCTGACAAAGTTACTCCCCCTGTGCTCATGCTTGATTAAATCAAGTCATTTAACCCTTGAGTTACGTGACAGAGCCTGTTTGAAAAGCCCAGCTCTGGCTAATGGCGGACTGCGCAATAAGTGTAATTGTTTGGGCCCGTAGTTTCCAGCCCTTGCAGATGATGTTTCACGGCTAATGAGCAGCTGTTATGATTTCTCGTCTATAATTTTCACTGTTCTGTTCCCTGTCTGCTTTATTTTACACCATTTTTCTCGCTTTAAATCACAGACCCGTGTAATACATTATAAACCCCCCCAACCAGCCACCCGTCAAGTGATGCTGAAGATGGATATGATTGCCCTAATGAGCGATTAATTAATGAGCAGGATGTTTATTTAATAGGCATGAGATGACCTTTGCTGGAGCATAGTAAGTCGTATTTCTCCAGGGAAAGTCATGGACCTTTACCTACCCGTGCACGTACCTGGTAAAACACAATATGAGGGGGGGGGAGTCACCGAGGGAATGACTATGGGGGCTATTTACTAAACTCAGAGTTGTGCTAAAACTGACAAGGGAACTGCACATTTTCGTACAACGCATGGAGTTGGAATAATTTTCAGTATTGCTATTTTGCCTGAAATTTGCAACTCTCTCTTGTCAAATTTCAACAGTTTCTACTTTAGTGAATGAGCCCCAATCCATAGTGGTGGGAATGGTGATTGCATTTGACATTTGACATTCGGGATGTTCGCTAAAGTATTATGGGTAATTAGGCTCTCTGCAGCATGGCTGCCAATGGAGGATGGATTCTGTGATGAGCAACTCTTGAGGACCGTGTGTTTGTTATGACGCTCAGTGAAGATGTTCTATGTCAGTTTAGGCTTTTCTGTCGACAAAACGTTCTTACTCAGTGACCTGGGGGAATTCTGTTTCTCTAATTGTTCCCCCAGACAAATATATCTGCCACGGGCCCCCAGTGAGTCGTGTTTGCTCTGAACAGTGGACGCGTTTCGCCATCAGCTTGTTATTGTAGCTGGAGGTCAGTTGGAGGATTTAATTGGCTGTTATGACAAACTGTGATCTGAGCAGATGCAATAGAAAGCTTTAGCAGTTAAACTACATTGAATGTCTTTAATAAAAGGCTCTGTAACAGTAACTATTTCAGCAGTTAGATATGGCGTATAACCGTATTAGTTTAATTCCGCTGGTAACCAGGTATAAATGCTGAAGTAGTCCATAGCAGAGTCTATTTTAGGGATTTGAAGCGGACTGTTCCCCAGATAGTGATACCCATAGGCATAGATGCAGAGAGCATTTTGGTAGCTCTAGCCTAATCTGTCAAGAGTAAAAACCTTTCTTTCACAAAAAGTTGGATTCCATTATGATTATTTACCAAAGTACGAATTTTCAGGAATTCAAAAAATCATTAAAAACTCACTTTTTCACAAAAGCATATCAATTAAACAGTTGATGGCTCCCAAGTGATTCATCTCCTGTAACTGTCATTTAAAAAACAAAAAACCCACACTAAGTCTTCATTGAATACTACTCTACCAATCTACTTCCCTAATACTTCCCTTACCTTTTGTGTCATTTTACCCCACTCCCTCTAGCATGTAAGCTCATTGAGCAGGGCCCTCAACCCCTCTGTTACTGTGTCTCTATACCCCACTCCCTCTAACATGTAAACTCACTGAGCAGGGCCCTCAATCCATCTGTTACTGTGTCACTATACCCCACTCCCTCTAACATGTGACTCACTGAGCGGGACCCTCAATCCATCTGTTACTGTGTCACTATACCCCACTCCCTCTAACATGTAACCTCACTGAGCAGGGCCCTCAATCCCTCTGTTACTGTGTCACTATACCCCACTCCCTCTAACATGTAAACTCACTGAGCAGGCCCTCAATCCCTCTGTTACTGTGTCACTATACCCCACTCCCTCTAACATGTAAACTCACTGAGCAGGGCCCTCAATCCCTCTGTTACTGTGTCACTATACCCCACTCCCTCTAACATGTAAACTCACTGAGCAGGGCCCTCAATCCCTCTGTTACTGTGTCACTATACCCCACTCCCTCTAACATGTAAACTCACTGAGCAGGCCCTCAATCCCTCTGTTACTGTGTCACTATACCCCACTCCCTCTAACATGTAAACTCACTGAGCAGGCCCTCAATCCCTCTGTTACTGTGTCACTATACCCCACTCCCTCTAACATGTAAACTCACTGAGCAGGGCCCTCAATCCCTCTGTTACTGTGTCACTATACCCCACTCCCTCTAACATGTAAACTCACTGAGCAGGCCCTCAATCCCTCTGTTACTGTGTCACTATACCCCACTCCCTCTAACATGTAAACTCACTGAGCAGGCCCCTCAATCCCTCTGTTACTGTGTCACTATACCCCACTCCCTCTAACATGTAAACTCACTGAGCAGGGCCCTCAATCCCTCTGTTACTGTGTCACTATACCCCACTCCCTCTAGCATGTAAACTCACTGAGCAGGGCCCTCAATCCCTCTGTTACTGTGTCACTATACCCCACTCCCTCTAACATGTAAACTCACTGAGCAGGCCCTCAATCCCTCTGTTACGGTGTCACTATACCCCACTCCCTCTAACATGTAAACTCACTGAGCAGGGCCCTCAATCCCTCTGTTACTGTGTCACTATACCCCACTCCCTCTAACATGTAAACTCACTGAGCAGGGCCCTCAATCCCTCTGTTACTGTGTCACTATACCCCACTCCCTCTAACATGTAAACTCACTGAGCAGGGCCCTCAATCCCTCTGTTACTGTGTCACTATACCCCACTCCCTCTAACATGTAAACTCACTGAGCAGGGCCCTCAATCCCTCTGTTACTGTGTCACTATACCCCACTCCCTCTAACATGTAAACTCACTGAGCAGGCCCTCAATCCCTCTGTTACTGTGTCACTATACCCCACTCCCTCTAACATGTAAACTCACTGAGCAGGGCCCTCAATCCCTCTGTTACTGTGTCACTATACCCCACTCCCTCTAACATGTAAACTCACTGAGCAGGGCCCTCAATCCCTCTGTTACTGTGTCACTATACCCCACTCCCTCTAACATGTAAACTCACTGAGCAGGCCCTCAATCCCTCTGTTACTGTGTCACTATACCCCACTCCCTCTAACATGTAAACTCACTGAGCAGGGCCCTCAATCCCTCTGTTACTGTGTCACTATACCCCACTCCCTCTAACATGTAAACTCACTGAGCAGGCCCTCAATCCCTCTGTTACTGTGTCACTATACCCCCTCCCCCTCTAACATGTAAACTCACTGAGCAGGGCCCTCAATCCCTCTGTTACTGTGTCACTATACCCCACTCCCTCTAACATGTAAACTCACTGAGCAGGCCCTCAATCCCTCTGTTACTGTGTCACTATACCCCACTCCCTCTAACATGTAAACTCACTGAGCAGGCCCTCAATCCCTCTGTTACTGTGTCACTATACCCCACTCCCTCTAACATGTAAACTCACTGAGCAGGGCCCTCAATCCCTCTGTTACTGTCACTATACCCCACTCCCTCTAACATGTAAACTCATTGAGCAGGGCCCTCAACCCCTCTGTTCCTGTGCTTCCAACTTGTCTGGTTACATCTACATGTTTATTAGTCCATCCATTGTAAAGCGCTACAGAATTTGTTGGTGCTATATAAATATAATAATAATATTAAATAGGGAAAATTCCAAATAATACGGTGTTTGGACCCATACTACTGGTGTGCATTTACACAAACAAAGTGAAATATTTCTGGATAAAACATGGTTGGCAGTGCAGTGTTCCAGGATCCTGCAGAATGTTGACTGGCACTGCATCTGTTGAGGACTCAATTTCCCATGAATCACAGCAAGTCGTGTTGTTGCTTTTTGGCTCAGCAAACCTTGGGATTGCAGCTTCTATGAGCCCAATATACTCTACACTACGACCTCCACTGGTAGGCCAGTGTAGGTATAAACTACACTTTCTACAAATAAGCGGTACTTACGCCACCTTGGTGATGACTTACTGACTCTTAACCCATTGAGAGCCATCCATTATGTTGCATTTTGCCTAGTCTGATAATATGCGTAGGAGTCAGACAGTGCTGGGATTTTATGGGATCTGTATAAGGCAGGACTGTCTATTAGGCCGGAATTTTATAGAGATTGATTTTGCTTTATTCAGTGTTTATTACTGTGTCCAATCATTATATCATTGGGATTTTATTAAGTGCGCGTCTCTTACATTACTGAGACTTTGTAATTCGTGTATCATTTTGAATACTAAAATCCCCTTGTAACAGGACCATTGTCGCTGTCACGTATCGCGAGTGCCCGCAGCTACATTCATTCACTAGCATTCCTCCGCTATGTCATTTCTAATGCTCCAGAGTTACATTGCAAATCATAGCATCCTGAGCATTTTAATCATCAGGGTCACTCCATCTTCCTTCTAAATAACCCCATCTGCCATCTCCCCACTATTTTCCAGATCATCTTACCCCCCCTTTCCCAAGTTGCACTCAATCTATGTGATGCTATAATACTGTCAGTTGCACCCTCCATCTATTAGATGGGTGACCAGGCATGCTTTGCATCTCCTTAAAGGGACTCTGTAGGCACTATAACCGCGTCATTT